CCCAACAGACAGTATTCACTTGGTAAATATTTTTTGAGCTCCTACTTTGTGCTATCATGCCAGGTGCTACTGGGGATATAATAAGGAACAAAAAATAAACGTGGTCCCTGCCTTCTTGGAGAAAGCAGATAGAAGGAATGGGAAGACATTAATCAAATTATCAAGTAAATATGAAAATACTCTTAGATTAAATACTGTGAAGAAGGACAGTAAGTTGCTGTGAGAACATACAATAAACATGTCCTGTGTTTGGCAGACACTGGTTAGGGAAGGTTTCCTTGAAAATATGATTTTTCAGCTTAGATCTGAAAGACAAGTAGAGAATAAATGAGGATAGCAGTTGGGAAGGAGGAATTGAGAGGGTGAATTTCAAGCAGAGGGGAACATATATAAAAGGCTACATGGTAGAAAGGAATATCATGTTCAAAGACCTGAGAAAAAGCTAGTATGTCAGGAATTCTTTCAGCTTTCAGTCTCAGAAAATACGATTGACAGTAGCTTAAACAGGTTGAGGTTTATTTTACTCCAGTAAGAAAATCAGAGGTAAGCAATTGCTCTAGTTGTTGGTTCAGGGGCTTTGTCATCAGTCCTCTTGACCTAACTGTGATTGTGATTTGGCCACTGGCAACTACAGACATCACCTATCTATTCAAGGCAGAAAGAATGGGAAAGGAGAAGTTTTTCCAGAAACTCTCAAAAATTACCACCTTGATATCGCTAGCCAGAATTATATCATAGAGCCACCCAGCCCAAGGAAATTAAATAGTTTGTAGCTTCTGTGTTAGAGGCATGCAGCATCCAGCCTAGTCTGGTGGAATTTAGCATGTATGCAAACTTAGGAATAAGCATACCTTTTCTATAAAAGGCCAGGTAGTAAATATTTTGGGACTCACAGGGCACATGCAATCTCTATTACCTATTCTTCTTTATGTGTGCATGATTTTTACAACCCTTTACAAATGTAAAATCATTTGAGACTGTACAAAAATAGGCTTCAGGCTAGATTTGGATCAGGAGTGTAGTTTGCCAACCACTGGTAAAGTCTGATAAACAACTTTGTCTTCAGATCATAGCATAGCACTGACTGCAAAGGAACTGTTGCACATCTGTTTAAGCACAATTCCAGAGTATTATCTTTGGGTTATAAGATTCCTCCAAGTCTATGATAATATTTAACTTGTCAAGCAGAAAGTTTTCCAGAGTATGAGAAGAAATTATATTCTTGGTTTCTTATGTCCTCAATCATAAGCTGATACAGAAAAAAGAATAAACTTTGCCTCTGTGGTACACTGTTTTCCTTGTTAATGATATATGTTTATTAAATAATATTGTAGGCTTTTATGACCTCTAGGATTGCCTTGTGTCTTTTGTCCTGACACTTGCATGTATCACATGGTAGGAAAAAGGCAAAATTCTGTTGGATAAAGCATGTAAGAAGAATAGTTGACAATACTATACCTAGAATAATGCTTTAGAAGAATCCCAC